TATCTGATATTGCTAAAAAGTGCTTTGGCACTTGTGTAGTGACACATGCTGATGTAGTTTTGAGTATGGATTACTTATATGGTTAATAAAAGGACATTTACATATAAAATGGAGGTTTAAAGGTAGAGCAAGTGATGTAATAAGGTTATGAGATGGCTATAAATCTGCTAATTTATGTTTTTTCTGGTTTTTCTGTTGTGCTTGCACATTTGAGTTCAGCCTGAAACTTGGGCAAAGTAATGAGTCCATGAGGGTTTGGCTCGTGCAGTCTTAAATACATTTTTCCTTTGATTTGGGGGGAAAAATGGGGGGAGTTCGATTTGGAGATGGTGTGAGGGGAAAAACTGCATTTGGAATAAGCGTAGGAATAAAAGCACCACTGTGCAAGTGGTTTTAATCTGGTCTGGACTGTATGATTTGGCCAAAAATGGGGTTGGGAGGGGGGGTGTAAGGAGGGGTGCTTGTCCAAATTAATAACTCGAGTGTATGACTGTATCACTTTGCCACAGTAACAGGGAGTTGCACACTTGCAAGCCAAAGCTCAAGTTGGGGCTTGTTTTTATAAAAACTCAAGGAACCATTGGTGCAAATATTATATTGTTACTCGTCACTTGTGATTCTACAGTTAATTCTTCAAATCTTTTATCTAAGCGTTTTAAATGGGAGTGGTAAAGGTTTCCAAAATAAAAATAAAGCAATAGCATCATATTTTCTATATATGTTTTAGCAGCTGCATAATAGGCTGTGAACCAAAGATGTTCAGGTTTCTGACAAATCTGAGCATCGCAATTTTTATCTTATTCATACATGAAGCTGACCTGCAAATGTGTACGTAACTTTCAGCCTAACTTGTTTGCTTGCTTGTATGTATGTGAATATGATTAAAATTCGATGTAATCGTGTGGTAATGTTTACCACACCTCTCCATCTATCTTTTTTATTGTTCTGCTCCTTTTTGTCTGCTTGTTTAAGTGTCAGTCTCCTGCTCTCTCTGTTTTCTTGTTGCTCAGGAAACTGTCATTTCTTTGAGGTGAAATATTCCACTGTTCTATTCAAAGGCATTGGGCACACTTACTGTAAGGGTTTTCCCCGATTACATGCGGCTAACGAAAAGAACAATTCCCTTCGTGAAGCAGCTTTGTAATAGAGGCTAAACAAGTATTTTATTTGTGAAGAAAACAAATGCACAAATGCTTTCATTAAAAAAAAAAAGATTATGAAACGCATTGTCTGGGGACAAACGTATGGCAAGGGTTGGGTGCACATGGGCAAAAAATGCCTTTAGCTGCTGAGTCATCAGTTTGATGTTGGAGGGCTGGATATTTACTTCTCTCTTCCCCTCGATTTCCTATCTTCACTGTGCTTTACAATAAAGACAATAAACTACAAAACTATTTTAAAACAATTTCTTTGGTGTGGTATTTAACTAATAAACTATTCATTTAATTTTGCAGAATTAATAAAATGGTTCATACGGGCTAAATATCAGTGCTTAAATATTTGCTAAAAAATTAGTTAAAAGTGTTAATTAATAACAAATAATAAAATGGTAATGCAATAATTTAGTAATGCAAAAATATTTATATTTTAAAATGATATTATATTATTTTAAAATTAGGCAATCATTTTATCTTATATGTATAAGATATAAGATCTTGTGTATGTGGGTATATATATGAGAGACAGAGAGAGAGAGGTTTCTCATTTACTCCACCAAACATATGTCTTGGCATTGTGGCCAAATACATCAAACTTTGTCTCAGCTGACCATAAATCTTTCTCCAGAAAGCATGTTGCTTATGGGCAGCAAATTTCAGTTGACCTTGAGAGCATCAATTTTGGAGTAGGGACTTTTTTTCTTGTTTGGTACCCTCTGAATCCATGGGGACTGCTGCTGTTCCTGCAGTTTCCAGCTCATGACAGGCTCGAGCCTTGGTGGTTCCTAACAGTTTCCTCTCATCTGAGGGTGACAGTTCGGGTCTTCTTCCAAACCTTGCCAAAGTGGTGACACATCCGAATAACTCGAACTTGCGTACAGTTGTATATATATCAGTTGAAACTACTCGATCATGATCACTAAAATAACTTAAAAGACATCACAGAACCTTTGGCACCACTTAAGAAAACATTTAAGTGATTTTATAATTGTATATCTATATTTAAGCTTGAGTGGGTTAGAGAAAGTCCAAAATAGATTCAAACTTTGTGCACCATGTGCAAACTTGTGTATCTTGTTTTTTGAACTCAGAATCATTGCTGTACAATGATTCGGTTAAACTATCATGGCGTTAACCTCATGATAATTGTATGCAAACTCCTGCCCACAACTGTAGTTCAAAGATGGATGTAACCATCAAGACGTCAACTACTGGTTTGTAAGATCCTTTTATGGAGCCTTCAGCTGCCCTTGAAAATGAGTACATCACACAATTATTATCTCACGTCTTTTGATTGTCAAGACTTTAATTAAATCGCCATAGTTAAGAAAATTAACTAATTAACTAACCAACGTGTTTCTCAAGCTTTTTCCAGTTCTAAGTCAATACCAACATTGTTTCTCACTGTGCTATGCGACAGATTGGTGTGCTGTCCAGGGTGTACTGTGCCTCTTGATTAGCAGAAGGAAACTGATGTATAGATAGATGGATTTTCACTCTTTGATAAAAGCATTTGTTGGTCACAAATGGCTCAAATATAATTTGTACTGAGGATTTTTAACCACGTCTCAATTTCTTCTGCTTTAAGTGAGTCTTGAGCCTTTAAAAGAAGATGAATGTAGTAGAAAGATTGTTTTTCTCTTGTTTACTTAACTGTCAAGTTAGCTACCAGAAAAGTGCCTAACACAAAAAGAAAATCACACAGTGCCCAGTGTGATTTAGTATAGAGATGGACCGATCCGATATTACGTATCGGTATCGGTCCGATACTGACCTAAATTACTGGATCGGATATCGGAGAAAAATAAAAAATGTAATCCGATCCATTAAATATCACGAAAGCACCTCGCAAAACTTGCAACACGCCGTAACTCACCTCAGAACGTTAGCAGTCGGAGCAGTATGCATCACGTGATAGAGCAGCTGTGGCATGCGGGACCTGTCGGTGGTCTGGATAGCATGTGGAGCTTCGCTAGCAACCTGGCATTTCATCTCCGACAAAGTTATCCCCGAGAGAAGTAAAGCAAGTGTGTAAGTCCATCTCTGAATGTTTGTAAAGCATTCCCACGTTAAGCTTAACAAGCGACTGCCTCTCGCTCTCCGGCTGCTACTTCAATCGTGAAACTGCTTAAATGATCAGCTGATCGGCTTTTCTGTCGCGAGTCCGTCTCTCTTGTTTGTTTTTGGCCCACTTTGCACCAGAAAGAGGAAACCAGCAGCTGAACAACAGCAGAACGTTTAAGCTTGATAAGCTGTTGTTAGAATTTATTTAATATTACTTTCTACTCGAGGATCTTTTTCTACGTAGCTGACGGCTGGTAACTGTGCAGGGGCGGATCTAGCAAAGTTTAGCCAGGGGGGCCGATAGGGCATGAACAGGGAAAAGGGGGCACAAAGACATACTTTTCTTTCTTATTCTCATTTAAAATGTCGAGCTTTTAATAAATAATTATCTTACACCCAAAGTTTTAATTTGATGTAAAATGAATAGAAGTCAATTACTGTATATAGTGACTATTAAGTCTAATATATACCCTAGTAAGCTATAGTACTTTTTACTTTGGGAAGGTACCATCTGTGCAGTCTGCAATTTTGTTGAAGAAAGATGTTGAATCTATTTAATATTTCTTGAAAAATAATTGATTTCTGTGCATTTTTTTTTCACACTTCATCAAATTAAGGTTGATTACGTCGATTAAGCATCATGAGGTGGCGCGTGAGGGGTGGTTCCTTATTTTTTATTTATTTATTTTTGTTGTTGCTGGGAGTTGGAACCCTATTAGTTAGGTTGCTTAATATTTACGCTAAGTACTCTTTAAAATACCAGAATAGGGAGGATGGTGTAGGTCTAAGTTTATTAGATTGATCAGTATTGCTGAACTATGAAATATTTTTTTTGTATACAGGTATAACAGAATAGCTTTAGTGTAGTTGTTGTTTTAAACTTGAGTATGAACTTGCAGACTTGCAAAATGCAGCAAGATATTTTAAAAAACAGTTTTGTTGATTAAAAAACACTATATTGGATTCATATCGGTATCGGCAGATATCCAAATTTATGATATCGGTATCGGTATCGGACATAAAAAAAGTGGTATCGTGCCATCTCTAATTTAGTATAAATCTTTGGCAAAATTTTAACAGCCATCTGTTTTTTGGCAGTAATAGAAATGCTCAGATGTATCAGAATTGCTCCACATTTGATTGACATAAGTCTCTTGGTAAATAAGATGACATTTTTTCAGCCTGTCAGTTATAGAACTTTTTCCTTTGTATCCTAAAACTAAATGCCATTGTGAAATAATTGAAAGTGGCCATATAAGAGATTTGCATTTGATGGTTTCACAGAATTACTTAAAACATACTTTATCGATAGTATCTAATAAAGTAAGCATGTCAGTAGTTAGATAATATTGTTGATATTTTTTCATGTATAAGAATAAAAACCACCCATCTTATAGTATGTTAAAGTATTCACTCAAATTTTTTAAAAAAAGTACCGCTTACCCTTTTTGTGGTTAAGTGTGTCGTGTGAGGTGATTGAGAAAAATTGGTGAGTATTGGGTTATGTAGGTCATGATTATGTGGTGGCCTCATTGGGTGTTAGAGGTGATCTGAGGCAGAGGGAAGAAGTGCCCTTTATGGGTGGCAGAGTAGTAGATCCACTGTGGAGGTGTCTGGCTGTCTGCCCAGACATGCCATGTGGGCTTCAGATGGCTGGATGAAATGAAAGGAGAGAGGGGCACACACTCTCTAGCTGCTGCTGATCACGAACAGCAGTTTTGTGACTCGTTTACTTTGCGTAAAGCTTTTCTTTGTTTCTTTTTTTTGTATTCCACATGTTCTGGCTGTTTTTCTGTGTGTTTTCTTATCTTACACATTAAAAGAAGTTTTTTTTTGTGGTTTGCTGGTAGTTGACATACCAGCACACAGAATAGTAGACCTGCCACCAGGACAACTAAAGCCTCTCGCTGCTTTCTCAGGATATGAAAGAGACCACCAGTGACATCAGAGAGACTGAACTAGGCTAATGAAATCTCCAGATGCCAGCCTTCACCACAGCCACTTTGATTAGTCAGGTTTGTTCTGTTAATGGGCTGTGACATGTTTCGTACCTGTAAGATTGTGCGTGTCATGCTTAAATGTGACGATATGTCAAGTCATATCTTTATCCTAATGAAATGATCAGATTGGGAGCAGCTAGTGAAGACAGCTTTTTTGCCCTTATCTGTGTTGTTGTCATTGCTGAGCTTCTGTGAACCAAGAGCACGATCCTTTCAGTCCTTGTCGTGGGAAAGACTGAAAGACTGAAATTACATCGCTCTCATGGTGGACTATTTTGAGCTCCCAAAGAGAGTGGCAGAGGGCAGGCGGCAGGTTCTAGTGACTCGTCCATACTTAGAGCAAGAGAACCCCTCTTGTCCCTCCAGCCTTCAACTTTTTACTGCTCAAACACTTTGCGATCTTAAGGAGGAGAGAAGTGGAAGAATGCTGTGTGCCACAATGTCAGGTGAGTGTGTGCCGGCACTCCCAGACTCTGCCCAGGTGTGTTTTGAGTGTGTGTATTTGTCTAGACTAAAAGTCACTCAAACAGGTGTCATCACAATAAAAAGTGTCATGATATTTGTTAGAAATAATATTTAAGCTTCTCTGGATAACTGAAGGAGGCATTGCATTTTTTGGTTAACTTGGAGAAAAAGGTTTCATCTGAGCTTAAATGTTCATCAGCTAATTTTGCCAGTTAGTTTTTGTTTGCATTTTTTCACCTTTACTATGTTAATTTCTCTTTTGCCTGAGATTTTTTATTTAGGACATAATTTAATATTTGAATATTTAATTTCTATTTTAAGCTTTTTGGTCAAACAAAGTTGTTATTAGTCCTGAGGAAGTCAAGTATTTTGTTCAGTTAGTGACAGTTTTTAATCTCAAGGCAATAATATCTCTATGAAAATGGAGGTCAAACATCAGTCATATGTGAAGTCAACATGTAGAGTAAGATCACCACGTGGGTGACCCCCAACCCTACTGATTTAAGAGATTCCTAGCACCTTGTGTGATGAATGAGACGTTTATTTCCTGGGGCGAGGCATGAGCAACTATGTATGGCATCTGTCTTGTTTAAATTTAGTGTAACTGAAGCTACCGCTGGCTGCTCTGTATCAACATGTCAGAGACTGCATTACCCCAGAGAGAAAGCTGTCGTACTCCTGCATCTAGTTTCATTTATTTTCTGTCTTTCTCCTGTCCCCTTTTGTCATGAGGTGTGGCTTGCTGGATCAGGATTTGGGTGATTTAAATCCCACTTTAGCTTAGGCTGTCCCTCAAAGCCATATTTCTGTCAGTGTCTGGTAATGGAAGCTCTACTAATTCAGTTTCTCCTAAGTCCTTCTGTTCTGTTTTTAATGATCAGGTCTAGACCAGATGATCAAACTATTAACTTATCAGTCGTAGAACACTTCCCATAAATGAGAAAATGACTTGAAGCTAACCAAAAAAAGAAGACTTCTGGAGTAAGTTTTCAATAAGCAGCCAATGGGCTGAGTATACTTACTCTACTAGATGTAGATGTATGGAATGCAGACCATGTGCACATAATAACTTGTCGGGTTGTTATGTAAACTTCTGGTGCCTTAGGCCAAAAATCAATAATAAAATTTTTACTTAGCACAATTTGGCTCTTGCTATGTTAAAATAAATTGTGTATACACTGTCTTATGAAGAATTATTATAGTACTGTTAAAAGGTGGTGGTACACACTGACACACAGTGTGGTGTAAATATTATATCTGGTGATTTTCATTTAACATGAAATGTCTTTTTTAGGTTGCATATGACTATAAACACAATTTTGTTGGTATTTAAAAAAGGTTTAACTTTGTAGAGCTTTGAAAAAAATGTGAAGGAAGGGTTTCTAGGTTTTGAGTTCTATCTGGATATATAACCACTTCTATTTGTATTTTTTGAAGGGGAAATTGCTGTCTTCCTGTTTGCTCCTTGATTGTTTCCTGCTAGTTTTTCTCCTTTTTTTGGGCCTGATTTCAAGCTGATGATAAAGAGTAACATGGATGTTAGAAGGGTCTCCCCAAAACAGAGCTGGTGGACCCTTTTTTTGAGGGTACACCACTCTTATCATGTCATTTCGTCTATCTGTGTGAGGAACTTAAGAGAATGTTTCTTTTGCTGCAGTAGTGTAATTTACTTATGTGTCAAGTTGGGTCAAGGCCTACAGATTTAGATACTTTTGAGATTAAGAATGTGTTTGGATATTCCAGAAACAAACCATGTACAAAATAAATAGCTGGCTTTGAAGAATTTAGTCCCTTGTACAAGTGTAGTGTACTAATGCCAACTCTTCCATCTCTATCTGCTCAGTATTTCTCCTCACACACTATGCCTCCTGTGCTTTCTCCTTTTCTCTGTCTCTCTTTCACTTACTTGCTCTGTTCGTTTCTCCCTCTTCCATGCTCTTTTTCTCTCATGCTCCCTCTCCCTAGTTGAGTTTTTCAGGCACATGCACAGTCAGCTCTGACAGATTGTTTAAATGTCACCCCTGCTAGCAGTAGCCTCTGATGTTATCTCCTCTGGGTTATTGCAGGCCATCATGCAGCTAGCTTTCCTGCTCCACTGAAAACCAATACGTGCCTGTATCATCAGCAAGCTTTTGTGATTACATGTATATAGACATAAAAAACTGGTTGTTTAGAGCAGTGAAATTAAAGGGGGGATAGGGGGAACTTTGACCATGCATTTTGACATAAAGGATGAACCTCTTTACTCAAAAACAGGTGATTACATGCAGAACTGGTCACTTAGGGCAAAACTACTATGCGTTTTGGGCAATATTGAGAACATTATTTGAAATTACTTGAATTTTACTTATTGACTACAGAAACATGCAAATATTACACTTTAAACTTACATTTTTAAAAATTTATTTTGCAGATCTTCACCTGAAAACGTAATTAAAATTTAAATAAAAAAACTGAGACACACGAGGCTGTCTGCAAGTACAGGATGCAAGACAGGAGATGAATGGCAATTAATCTAGCATAGCTCACCGCACTAACTGAAGTTAGCAATCCAAGACTAGCTGAAGTTCTGTGATGCTATGGTCAGGTCAAGGTGGTCATGTTTAGGCGCGTTTCTGACTTGGCGCCTAACTCTTACTCCCACACACTCTGTTGAGATGCACTGTTGGTTCCTCAGCCAAGCACTTTCATCAAAATGTGTGATCCTGTGGTTCCTGTCACACTGAGCAGGGTTAGTCTTGCAACAACACATCAGTAAGGTAAAGTGAACCTGTCTCACCATGGTTTAACCCCCGCTTGTGTTCCCTGTTATTTGGTGAACAAATCAATGCTTTGTGAAAGCAAAACCCCCAACTGCATATTGAAGGGAGTGTGCTGTTTTAGAAAAAAAAAGACAAAAATGTGGTACTGTGACTGTTTTGTTGATTTTTTTTTTTTGTAATAATAGTTGTATATCATAATTATGATTTACACGTGCAACAGGCTAATTAGTTTTGTTGTTGGATGAAGACTTTTTTGTCATGTTTGGCTAGTTTAATTTTCTTTAGCACCGCATTGTTTAAGTTCTTCAGTTTTTAATTATAGCTTATAAATCAGTTTTATATATGAAATTTACATTAAGCATTTCATTATGAATTAATCTAATAGGTGCACTAAGTATTAACCATTAGTGAGAGCTTTTTGTAGTATTAAATAAATGTCCCTCAAACACAGTTAGCGATGTGTTTGAGGTGGATCTTGGTACTGTGGTGAGTATTTAGTTCAGGTGGTTACTTGGCACTCTCTGTTTATCCCATAATGTTATCTCAGCATGAGGTTGTTAATTAGGAGCTTAATTTAGCTGCCGGCATATGTTAACATTGGCTTAGCCTTCCATTGTTAAGCCTCTGCTGGCTGGTGAGTCTTCTGTGACAGCAAAGGAAGGCTTTTTGATGTAATCTTAACATAACATTACAGGATAAGACAGTAGCACGTCTCTGCTGATGCAACATTAAAGTGAGACTCCTTTCTGAATATTATGCTTTATACGTATATTTTACTTCATGACTCCAGATAGATCCAGCCTGCCTCATTGTTCATAATATCTTCATTTCTCTTTTGCTCCATCTCAATAAATAATATGTGTACACATACCCAGCAACCTACGCAAAGAGAGATGTCTAGTAAATTTGGCCCAAACACAGTCAAAAAAGTTTGGAGCCATAGGCATAGACCAGCCCTCACAATATGATTGTGCAAGTGCGTCACAGACGATGTGTTTAGAACTGCTGGCAACCAGCCAACTGCAGATTTCTTCAAAGACCCAATAGGAAATCCTTAAATTCACTTTTTATGAGCTCTTCTGGTAATTATAGTAAAAATGAGTTTGAACCCAGAAGTTAAAAATATAAGTAATGTGTTTAATCTACATTTTTCTTAAATATTTATAAAATAGTTGTTGCCAAATCATTGTAAATTGTTCACCTAAACTGAACAAGGTGTTTGATTTTTTACGACTGGTTACAGTCATTAAGTTGCTGACAGTTAGTTGCTGACTCCGTTTTTGGTATCACAGCAAATTAGGCCTAATAAATTCCTGACATTGAAGTATTAGATGTTGATTACATGGAGAAAAAGGACTGATATCAGATATATAATATGTATCTGTATTATAGATAGTTGATAGATGTCCAAAATGTTGAAAGGAAAAAAAAAGGAAACAGTTAAAACAATATTTCAGCTTTGTACATTTAGATGTTTTACTTTTTACTATACACCGTTAAGTTTGATCATTTCACTGATGTATATGGTGCAGTTCATGTTGGCACACTTGCTCTGGTCCATTGATCAGCAGCTCTTGAGGAGAACTGAAAGTGGATACTGGGCAAAACACAAAGACCTCTGTACAGGGGATGTAAGCAGAGCCTGTTCTAATCAACCTGCTTGCCCACCACAAAGGGAACCCTGGCTTAGATTACCCTCCTGCTCCAGCACCACATGCTTTTGGGTCTAGTTGGTAACCCAAGACAACAATATGTATTAGTGCACACGCACAAACACATGCAAAGATTGCTCAAATACCCATACAATAAGTGCAAAAAAGCACAGGAAGGCACAGAGGCACAACCACAGGCACACAGGAACGTACACACATTCATACACCACCCACTCGTTTATACCCATAGACTTGCACATAAGCACAAAGAGAGGTCGAGAGAAAGATCTTGGGCGCACCAGCAGAGACTTGCAGCAATGAGTTTGTCATCTTCTTTGGGGGAGACAAATCCTTCCCTCTCTCTGTAGTAAACTAGACTTTCTGAGAATGTGGGCCTGTGTGTCACTGCTGGTCACAAGACCCTGACACACTTTGTGTGCAGTGAAAGCAGGAGGCGGGAGGGACAAAGTCTCTGCGGATTATCCCCCAAGTGAGAATCCCCATGCAGTGTGACGGTCAGCCAGAGGCCCGTTGAGCTTCCTGTCAAGGAGCGAATACCACTATTGCCAGTGGATCAGGCTGCTCTCTGTGGTTACTGTAAAAACACAGTGGCCTTGGTGGTGTGTCAAAAACATCCACCATTCCATGCTTCACTGAAAGATCTCACAGTGAGGTGGAGCTATTATTAGCTTAGGTACAGCAAAGCCTCTTAGAGATCTTTATTTAACCAGATTGGCTGTCTAATGTATGGACACTTGAGGAGTTTGTGACGCACAGGGCTTTCAGGAACAAGGCAGAGGCTTTGCAACCAGTACCATTGATAAAACAACAATGCTACTACTGTCCTGCTCCTCTCTTCTCCTCTGGTCTCCTCTCCTGCCCTCTCCTGCCCCACCCTGTCCTACTCCCCTTAAATGACTGGGGTTTGGCTCTGACAAGGGGGTTCCCCACCGCACACCAGTTTCCTTGCACTGGAAGGTTTTAGGTAGCAGGCTAATCTTAACTCAAAGCAAGGAAAGGGCTGTGAGCCAGGTAACGTTGTCGCCCCCGATCTGACCCTCATCTGCTACCTATTTTTTTTCACAGTCTATTGAGGTGAATAAAAATACACAGAAGTGTAACAGTTGATAAACTTTCTTACCTAATTTTTACCTGCAATATAATAATAAATAAGCTACTATAAAACACAGAGAAGAACTAATATGATAATCACCATTAAAAGATATAAATTTAAACTTTGAACAACTGTGGTGTAACAGTTCTATAACTGAAGTTGACGAATTGTTACACCACTGATACGGTAGGACTACCTGGCAGAGGGATTTCTCATTTGTCATCTGAGGAGACTGAGCCATGGACTTTTCTAGAGACAAGTTGCTCTCATTACTTTCACCAGGCCAACTCAGGCATCTAATGAAAAATCCAAGACTCCCTCACAGTGTTTTTTAAGTGTCTTGAATATAAACAAGATCCAAACAAAGTAATTATGTTTGGATGAACATAATTGCATTATTAATAATTATGATTTCTTTATTACATAATTAAATTATGTTGAAGGAGCATTAAAGTACATTTCTGCCTACTTTGGTTTATCTAGAAGTCTTTTTATTTAAAAGTCACCTTATCTTTATCAGATAACTTCCATTGTCTTTATAGTAATAAACCAGCTTAGCCTCCAAGTTTAACAAAAAAACAAACAAACAAAAAACTCTGCACGTAATTTATAGTTGTAGTAATTTGGGCACAGTAAAAGGTTAAGTTGGTATAATGTCAGACTTGTGGGCACATTTTGTGGCAAAGTTCACACAGTTTCTCATAATTTGTGTGAGTAGCACAAAGACAGCAGCTGATTACCATTCAGCCTCTGGAAATGGCTGACCCTATTTTTAAAATTAGTTCATTAGCTTGTGTTATTTGCAAAACCCAGACAAGAAAACTAGAGGATTCATATTAGCAGTCAGTTTATAACTTCTGTGACTGTTATGTAGCAATTTAGCAATTGCTAGTATAACCAAGCCCTTTAGCATTTAGCATAGCCTTACCAACTGCAAAAACTAATTTCCTGATTTGTGGCGATAGCTTATGTTCTTGTTATGGCAGGAGAATACTACTACATTATTTGAGTGCAATGTTACATTTTCCTTTCCTGGCCTGTATGGTGTTAAGCAACAGCACCTCCTCAGAGAAGCAAGAGGAAAGTATGTTTTTTTACTATTCTCTTCTTTCCATTTGGTACCTTCTTTCCTGTCCTTCTCTTTTAAAATTTTTTGTTTATTACGACAGTTAACTCAAATGATACTCTACTCTAAACATGACTGAGTGCTACATTGCACTGATATTTATAAATCTACTCCTACCTTCTCCTATTTCTCTGTAATTTTACAATTGTACAGTGCAAATATTTGAGAATAAAAAACACTCTTGCAAGATTGTCCTGGACAATATATGCAGCAGTTCAATAAGAAGTAGTAACATACATTAAAAATGCACCCATAATTCCACAAAAGTACCACATACACAAAGACCATGCAAGTCTTCCAAGCTAAGGTAAAAGCATCAGAATAAATGTAAATATTTTAATATGCAAGTGTTAGTTGAGATTGGAAGAAACAAATATACTTTTGTATTTACACTAATCATCATGACTGTGCATAGTTGAACATTTTTGCAGCCCAGACAGAAGAACAAACTGCAGTCACCAAAGTTACATGTTTATAAGTTTCTGTAGTCTGTCATTTCCCAGTTGAGGTTCAGAATCAGAGGATACACTTATTCAAATTAGAACAGCTTTCTTCTTCTTCTTCTTCTTCTTCTTCTTCTTCTTCTTCTGTCCTTCTCTTGCTCTCTGTCAGTCAGATGTTGTCGTCAGAGGATACACTGCTGGGTCTTGTGACAAGCAGGCAGGGCCAGTGAGAAGCTGAGCAGCTATAAATAACAGGCTTGCTGCTGCCGCCACTTTTGTTGCTGTTGGACACAGATGGCAGGCAAAATCCTGGATACATACTCTCTTTCCAAAATTATTTTGCTTTTTATGAACTTATTCAAAACTGGCCTTGACATCTGATTTGACAAACCTGTCATACCGCTGTTATCAGTCCATCACTTAGAGAGGAAATATTTATGAGAAGCCCCAATTTCAGATCGTTCTATCTGTGTTTGACAATTTAACAAAGATTTAAGTTTTGTTATAGCCTTGATTCCTGTTTCAAATTTAAGAAAGCTGTATTTTTAGATGGGTAGGTACGTTCAGGGAATATGGGGAAGTGTTTTGCAATGATTTCACAACCTTATCCTGTACAGGCTACAGTGTGGTTTTAGCTAAGCTTACTCATTGATGTCATATTTGAATGTTTTGCAGTTCTTTAAGTGATGTAAATCTTTTTTTTTTTTTAATGTTTTTACTTTTACACTAGAGTAGACCTTATATTCATCATAGAATGAAGGCTTTACAGAAAGTCTGATGTTACATGATGTCTACATTGTTTTAATTTGCTAATCTCCATTGAATATGTACTTTTTGTAAAACTTTTTTTTGTGTGGTAAAATATAGTATATAAATATAAGTTTAAGTTTTGAACTTGCCTTTTCTGTCTTTGACCATGGCAAATAAGTTTCATAGTTGACTTGTAGAAGTTAGTTCAAGCAAGTAATCGACAGGTAATAAGAAGCCCTTAAAATATGTATTTTTACAAGTACAAATGAAGCAAGCCAGCAACACCCGCAAAAGCAGTAAGGATTTTGAATGTGTCGCCACATGAAGTGTTGCGACTGTTCATGTAAAGTTAGATGGAAGGGCCATGTCTTTCAACCACGCTTGAGGTTGGTAGATGATGCATATGTGTTTGGAGGTTAGATTTCAAATTCTTGTGGTCATCTTCTCAAAATGACCCAGGACTTTGGCTTTCCTGCCTGTCAAACTAAATTAGGATCTAATAACAAGAAGGACCAGCAATTTAAACATTAAGACTGAGTGTCATCGTTTTTAGTATGGTCTTTTTTGTCTTGCATCCAGCCATCAATTCAAAACCTTGTTTGACTAAGACTTGTCATTGAGTAATTTTTGGTTGACTGTTAGAAGACACAAGTGTCATAAGCAGAAACTTTGCAAATGAGGCCAGTGAAGGTTTTTATATGTGACAGTATCTCTGCAAATGCAACACATGTGAAACACTAAGAGGGATTTGGGGGGTACTCCAAAGGCAGCAGTAGAGCATAGCAATGGAAGTTTATCAATAAACTCCAACGAAATAGTGCCAATGCACACAATTGGCTCTCATCTATTTGTTTGTGTGTGGTTGTGTTTGTGTGTGTGTGTGCATATGCTGGCTGTGCCGGATGACCTTTGGTATAAATAGCCTGCCGGCACTAGTTGTGATGACAGCCGACAGCACGCACAGTTGTGTGAACTTGTTTCCTGAGTAGTGCTGTTCATCGGTTATCCCTCTTGGAATGATGCCTGTATGACTGTCTGCTACCCAGCAACACCCTGGCATCTAATTTCCTGAAACTGGACTCAAGCACAAGCTCGGGAGACAACCACAAAAATTAACACATAACCTCATTTTTTAAATTTGACTGACCATAAAAGAGGTTTGTGTGTATTCCTTGTGTAGTGAATAGTTATTTGAAAACAAGAGTGGAACAAGCTAAATACACTTACTAGTACTAGGAGAACTGTATGGTCAGACAGTGGACACATTGCGTCTCTTTTTATTCCTTTTAAATGTAACAGACCAGGAAGCCTATAGCAGATATTCAAACCTCAAAAATTCTCACAGTGTCTTGGTTCCTTTAATTTTGACATTTTAGTTTTAGTGCTATAGCCTGAGATTGGTCAGTTTGGTCGACCTAGTTAAGTGGTACTCAGGAACGTGTAGGGGAAAACCCAATAGACACATTGCTATATCCTAATCTTCTCTTCCTTTCTTCTCATAGATCTGGAGCCTGATGACAACACATCATTTTATATCTTGAATGTGGGCCAGCCCCAGTCTGTGGTCACTAACCACCAGTCTATGAGCTTGCCTCGCCATGGCATGCCATCTCACTCCCCGATCATCAACACTTCACGCCTTCAGACACAAAAACCAGGATCTGAGCCCCCAAGCTATGATACACAAGACTCTAAGTATGGTACCTCCCCCATGCTGCCTTCTGCTCCTGTGGAGGCACCAAAGGCCTTTGAGTGCCCAAGTATCCAGATCACATCTATCTCCCCAAGCTGCCCGCAGGAGATGGATACTAACCAGGAGGATCTAAGGGCCAATGGCCCTGATGGGGACTACCATAGTGACAGGCCCTTGTCCAGGGACCACCTGTATTTGCCACTGGATCACTCCTACCGGGATTCTTCTCTCAGCCCTAGTCCATGCAGCAGCCTCTCATCTAGGAGCTGGTTCTCTGATGCCTCCTCTTGTGAATCATTTTCACATGTCTATGATGATGTTGACTCAGAGCTGAATGAAGCAGCAGCCCGCTTTAACCTGGGCTCCCCTCTCACTTCCCCAGGCTGTCCCTCTCCTCAAACTGGTGGAGGTGGAGTTATGGAGGAGCAGCCCCACTGGCAGCACCACCAGCCCACATTTGTGCACCAGTCCCACTCCATCAGCTTGTCTCCTAGACAGTCGCCCTGCCACTCGCCGCGCACCAGTGTCACTGATGAGAACTGGCTCAGCCCACGTCCACCTTCCAGGCCTTCCTCACGTCCCACCTCACCCTGTGGGAAGAGGCGTCACTCTAGCGCTGATATTTGCTATCCTGGCTCTTTATCTCCCCATCACTCACCCACACCCACGCCGGGACCTTCACCTAGGGGCAGCGTGACAGAGGACACTTGGGTTGGCAGTCCTTCTGTAGGCATGTCACCATTTCAGTGCTGCCCATCAGAGGCAGACATCCCTTCCAAGACCAGAAAGACCTCACAGGACAGAACAACTATGCAGACCGGGAAAGGGGAACTGGGACTAGATGACCAGGGAAATATGTCTCCTAATCTAGACTCCCCTTCAGACGAGGCCTTGCACAGCTTGAAGAAGGATGGGCCTGCTGAACAGTTCCTCTCGGTGCCCTCGCACTTCTCATGGAATAAACCCAAGCCTGGTCATACACCTATATTCAGGTAAATATGTTAATGTTAAAGGAGTGAAAGCAGGAAGAAGTGAAGGATTGTCGCATAACAATTTATATTCAAATGTATTCAAATGCTGTGGAAGAGTCAGTGGGAGATAAACTGTCTGGGGAAAAAAAATCAGTTGAGAGCAAGGGGTAATTCTCCATATTGTTAAAAGAAGTTTATTTTATAATATCCTTATGTTTTACTTACTATTTGTTTAAAAGAAAAGACACTTTCCAGACATGGGACACCAGGGTTTTTCCTGGCAGAACACTAACTTTTGGGTAGTGTCTATACATGTAAGGAATACTACTGCCATGGACTGGATAATAATGACACTTAAGAAACTGTATTACCTTTCTTAACATTTTTTGACATTTTATGAACAAGAGTGATTTTTTTTAAACATTTAGACTTGGCCTAATTCTGACAGAGCCACTCTACACATTCTCAGTATTTTCTGTGTCCAAAGGAGTTGTTGGACTTATGGGAACAAGCAATTTCATCCTCAGTGTATTGTAGAAATACTTTTGAACATTTAAGACTTTCTGTTATTATTGCTATTAGCAGAGTCTCTTTGCCCCCCTCTCTGTGGTGTAGGATTTGTAATAGCAAATATTAGTTATAAATCAAGACCACAGCAAACTAGAATAGGATATGCTTAAATAAAATACATTCTCTAGCAAGAACAGAAACTGACAGATATACGTGAGAGGCATGTGTATGCCTTTCTTGCATTTCTGTCGATGCAATTGAATGCAGTATGGACTGTTTTGGTGTTAAAAGTCATATAAAAATGTGATCTGCTAAGATTTCTTTTGTGGCTTTTACAAAAAATTTGACCAAGGTACTCAATTGTACATATGTCATTAGTATTAGAATAAGAGATTATTTGTGGATGACATCCAGAATTGCCATGTGATGTGGCGATAGCAGTCCCTTCATCACCATTTTGTGAATTATTAATTTGATCACCACTTTGTAAAACAGCACGTTGTCAGTCTCAAAAACACTTAGTAGGCCAAGGTTAGTCCACAGACCTGAGCGGTGAATGTTTTTATGAGTGTTGTGAGCTGTCATAAAATTTCAAAACCTTTTTTGATCTAGGTGAGAACTGTAAACTCTACAGTGCAGCAAATTTGAATCATGGTGCATGGTATATGAATAATAGGATGGCACTCTGTAGATCAGTATGGGCCATAATGAGGGAACTTTGAGTTATATATTAGCACTGTGTGCGTGTAAGGAAACGCAGCATGTATTCAAAAACCTACCAACATACACAGAAATATGAGGCGAAGTGTCCTGTCTGTTCTCCAATGTGTGTAGCAGATGAAGACATGGCCTTGTTTATGTATACTGGCCCCTAGCACTGTAAATCAGCACAGGGCACATATGGCATGAGGGGTACACACAAATACACACACAGAGACATCCATAGACATAACACAAATGCTTGCTCACTTAGCCATAACACTATCCAGACAATAATAGGGTCAGATTTATGATGAGTCACAATTAGATTTTTGCACTTTGACCTTCTAAAGGTCTTTTCAGACATGGGATTTGTGACATTAAAGGCTACATCAATCTGTGAAAGGGACAAATTAATGCAGACACAGGTAAGTAAATGTTCTCCATGGCTCCACTGAGACATTGCCACGATGTTGATGAAATTAGCCACGGTAATTAGGTACGCAGTGAAATTTTACAACATATGAGTTAACATGTCAGATTCTTATTAACGGGTGGGGATATAGTTTGGTAATTGATATGCTAGTTATTTAAGTAGTGATGAAAATGTTTCCATACAGATTTTTGTAAACTTTGGTAAACAGATCAGACAGTTACTAAACAAAAGTCTGAAGTGAAGTAAACGGAGCGATTTGCTTTTAGATCCTGATTGGCACATGCTTGGGATAATTTATTATATGTAATTATTGGCTATCTCTGTGTTATGTGTATAAATGCACACACAACTCTTACTTGGGAGAAAATCTAGAAAAAAAGACTTTTAAAAATGCCTTGAAGCAAAAAACTAACTTTAGTTCCTGTTGATTTTTTGTCAAAATTTACATTTTGTTTTGTTAGTTAATTGTCCTGTCACAGGCTCTGTCTTTATCAAGGATCAAGGTTTTAAATGTCACTAAAATGTGCTGCACTTTGTGCCGTGTATAATCTCGCAAATACACACAGTATCAGATTAGTTCGTAGAGTTTGGCTAACCTTAGCAGTCTTAGCAGCAGTACCCTTGATTTCATTCACGCTAGTGTATACAAACTGGTGCAGAATATCACTTCGGTTTATATTCGGTTTACTTTCCCACTCGCTTGTTTACAACTTGAATTTGCAGGAGGATAGACTGAGACATAGCCGTCTGTCAGAATTGCAGCCCCGGGTAATAGCCAGTAGCACTTTAATATCTTTGTACCACTTTGTACTACAGTTGTAAGTTAATAAAATAAGAATGTACATTTAACCAACTGGGATTTCTGGCACCGAGTAGCGAGGGCAGCAGCAGTTGTCAACAAATGGCTGGTTGCTAGTCACACATGTCATTAGCCTTCATGATTGAAGACTTTATGGTAAATTTAAAAGTTAAAAGAAAGATTTCAATTAGAACTGGGCAATAAAAATGAAAACTCATTAGCAATATAAAACATTGTCAGTATAAAGTCCATCCATGGAGGTAGTGGTATAGAGGTAGTTTTGTTTTGTTTTTGTTTGTTGTTTTTATTTCTTTGGACGTGAAAAAAGCATTTTCCCAGTTCTTTTGTGTTCTGCCTTAACACTTGAAGTTTTTGCCTAATCAAAGTTAAGATTTTAGTTTGGTTATATATATAGTCAGAAGTAAAAACTCTAATCAGAAACAGAGATTTGATTGTTTAAATGAATTAACTTCAAGCATTTTTTTTTTAACCATGCCTTTCTTATTTAAGCTAGTAGATGCTGGCAGATAGATATTGGCATACACAGAAACTTCAGATGAAACTTCTCACTGTTTGTGTTTTGCAATACTCATGTTAAGTTGCTTGCATACATAAACATCTCGGTCAGTAGCAGTGTTTTGAACAGATGTCCCACATGGAATGAAAAATTAGCGGGGAGTTGACACTTGCTCTTACAAAGAATTTTGTCATGCTCTACTTCCTGAGCTGTCTGCAGTGACAAATTGATGTCATTTGTAACGTAAGCTTTATTTTAAGCAAAAGGTCCATTTTACTTAGTGATAAATGTTTTGTGTGCAGCTCCTCCCAGTAAACAGCAACAGCACTAGCTTAGATTAGATTTTTTTTTTTTTAACAAAAAGTGAAAGTAACAAAGGACAAATATGAAAAAGAGTAATGGAACTCTCACATAATTTATTTATTTATTTTTTTAAATTAAGGGATCAGCGGAAATGGCATTATTGTTTGAAGATCATGCATTTTATACTTGCTGCTAAATAGTGGACAAGCCCATTAAGATGTGCTGAATTAAAGTAAGAACTTGCAAATAAAATGTTATTAGACCTTGCAATTTTTGCAGCTTGTGTGGATGGCAAGAATACCTCATTATATGGAAAGGATGAAAGTGGGACCATGGAGGCTATAGTGAAGACTAGGTTGTGGGAATGTTATTGGGTGAGGAGCACCTACACTATGGCTTAGACATTTGAGAAAGGTTATGCTATGTCAGAACAGAGGCCACTGCCCTGCCTCGTCACAAGCTCATATTTCCTCTGTCCTCTTCTGCTCCTGTCACCATAGCAGCCATGCAAACCCACACTACGTCGGTGGTTATGTCATGGCTACTAGGAGGAAAACATAAGGGTTGGGATGCGTCTGTTACATTGTGTGGGAGCTTCGATATTGTTCCATGCTCTCAGTCAAATTCTAGTTTGAAAAGTTAAATTACTGAGATTGGCAAACTGATGATTTTGGAATTTACATAGTGCTACAATTTATTTGTTTATTTTTTTAAATTTATAATGGCACCAAGACAAAATAACCTATAGAAAGACAGGGAAGAAGGAGAAAGAAAAATAAGTAAACAAAATCAAGCATTGCTGAAAGTGTCAGAGTATTTCCATGTGCAACATTGCACCATACATATGATTGGCACATCTTTGTGTAAGAAGTTACATTTTAAAGTGGTAGGAGAACCTGTATAGTATAGCTAGTTGGTGTGAAATCAAAAGCTTCGGTTAGCTGGAAAAAAACATTTATATAATATCCGAGACTTGCCTTTTCATTCTAAAAATAAGTATTCCTTGTGGTTTTATGTTGTTTGGTAGTTTAAGAAGTGAAACGGCTCCACTGAAAGCCTGACTCACATGTCCTTAATTCAGTTTGATCAGACTGCTCGTAAGAGGCCTCTCAAAATGGAAAAGTGAGTCGGCTATACTGGCTAAAACTTTACAAACTTTCCTCTGAAATTATTTGGGCTGTCAAAATTCTGTCATACCGTTTAAGAGTAAATTTTGATGCTCGAAGGCTGCACCTTCTAAAATAGGGCACTGCACAAAGAGCTTACAGTGGTCAGTACTCGGGCACAGATCATATATAAAACTTACACCTATAATTGTCTAAAGTACTGAGACAATAATGGATTCAGTCCTTTAATGCACAGCTGCATGTATTCACATGCATCCGAATACGTGTGTTGTACTAGTGAAAGAAAAAATAACATGACACACGAACAGTTCAAGGTGTGGCAATGGATTGAAGTGTGGCTTGCACCAATTCAAGACAAAAATGATCGGGTTTTTTGTCCATATGTCAAAATGTGTTTGGGAACGTGGCTCTCTACTCTCAAGTTGTTATTTTTATTTAATGTTCTTAAAAATATTGAAATAAATAATAATCAAAAACAATACGTGCAGTAATAGACAAATAAAATAAAATTAATGAATAGGCCATGGCTTTGTTGATATTAATGGCTCATAGTGTTTACAAAATGTTTTGGGGATAAACTGCTGTAATGCACTCAAGTGGAGAGACCTAGTTTCTCTGTGGAGAAGGCCATTGAGTGTTTTGTTTTCGAGTGCAGCTGTTCAAATATGATTGTGGCCTACACAGATAACAAAAAGAGGCCCCGAGGAAAAGCACACACAATGCTAGCCCATGCAGTTTGCAGCACATAAAATATATACTTCTACAGTATGCACACAGACCCACACACAGATTAATATGCACCGTCTGACACACACTCTTGTCCTACCACCTATTCACTGACCCACACAGTAAACGAGTAAAGACTCAGACAAAAAAAGTCCCTCTTAGGAAATGATTCACCGTTTAAGGCTTAACTTGACCTATAACAAGTGTTATGTTTAAGAACAGGATTCATACATGTGGGTATTCCAGTGATTCACTGTCTGATGGGGCTAAGCACCCTGCATTTTATACCCCCATTTTGTACCTGTTGCACCATTTCAGCCCATGAAAGGGGATTACCACTTTTTCAGCCTTTGAATGTTTAAAGGCATCTTTAAGACAGATTGCTGTCATCAGTCATTACCTTTTAGATTGTGCTGCTTGACCTTTTATGACTGTTAAAATGATTTATCTACATTTAAATAACATAATAAGACCGTGCCCTCTTAAGGCTTAAGCTTTTGGATATTTTGAACAACACAACTCTTACCAAAGCTTTCATGTCTCTGTCTCTCTGTGTGGGTGTGCATGTGCATGCTCGTGGTATTCCCTTTCCTCCTCAGGACCTCTTCACTGCCTCCTCTAGATTGGCCGCTGCCAAGCCAGTTTGGCCAGTATGAACTGAAGATAGAGGTACAACCCAAAGCCCACCACAGAGCACACTATGAGACTGAAGGCAGCCGAGGGGCCATCAAAGCAGCATCCGGTGGCCATCCAGTTGTAAAGGTAACTCTTCCTGCTACTCAACGTTAAGAAATGTTATAAAGATATTTACTACTAAAAAGCTTAGTGGTGTGTGTGTTGATTGTTTTTTTTTTGTTTTTTTTTTTTCCAGTTTTCCTTTTTTTTGTACTGAGATCTTGTGGCAAAAAAGCCAAAATGACTTTTACAGAGCATAAGCTGAGCAAAATACAAGAAATAATGCCTTTGCCTGAGTATTAAATTCCCGTAGCTCAGGACTGATTTATTGTTAACACAATGCTTGCCATGCATTCCTAAACTTATACTTTACATTATCTAGTTCCCACTGTACCAACCACAGTCTAGATGTCAACTCGTGAAGCCTACATGATTGAAAATAAACATGAAATGGAAAAAAAGGCTGAACCCAACTTTCTAAATTCAGCAGTTGGTGGGAATTTTCCTCTGCTGAAAGAAATATATATTTTCCACATAGCTTGTGCAAGGATCAACACTCTGGCTAAAAATTCAAATACTCTCTAATAATATAAACCTGACACATCAGGGAGTTGGTGAAAAATGGGATCATTCATTGCTTTCCCAAAGATCTCAGCACCTGCCTATTATGTACTAGAATCGTTGTATGTTATTTGACTATAAAAAACGTAAGTGTTCAGGCTTGCACCTCAAACATCTGCTGGTTGTAGGGAACAGACACTGGATTCAGGGTGTCAGTTTACATGTTTGGATGAGTAGATTGTCACACGGACTGTCCCGCGAGAAGACTGTCAATCAGTTTGTTGAAGCAAGAAGACAAGAGCTGTCACTGTAGCCTGGTCAGCTGGTCTGTCATTTGATAGCACCTGTGAGAGAGTCGGTGAGCCAGCATAGAGCTATGGTGTGCTTTTGACTCAGAGAGAGAGGAAGATTCTCATTAATATTTTAAGGTCCCAGTGACAAGCTTTCTTTGTATGTGATTAATAAAGGGTCTAATGCTTGGCCATAATCATTGTTGCGTAACCTAACAATGACTGAGATCAGACTGATAGATTGGTTGGTAGTCCAGTCATCCAGATGGGATTGCTTTTACTAGTTTGTGCTTCAGTGCCACGTACATCATTTTCTTTTTGGACTGTGGTACTGAATGATAATGGATTGCATTTATATAGCGCTTTTCTAGGCATCCAAAGCGCTTTACAATTCCACTATTCATTCACTCTCACATTCACACACTGGTGCAGGCAAACCACAGTTGTAGCCACAGCTGCCCTGGGGCAGACTGACAGAAGCGAGGCTGCCATATCGTGCCATCGGCCCCTCTGGCCAACACCAGTAGGCGGTAGGGTAAAGTGTCTTGCCCAAGGACACAACGACCAGGACAGAAAGAGCTAGGGGATCGAACCGGCAACCTTCCGGTTACAGATGTGCTTCCAATCCCCTGAACCATGGCCGCTACGAATAAGCAGTGTGCCCAAACAAAAATACACCTCACAAAACAAGGGCATGCAGACCACTGCCATTTGTTGCTTTAGAAACAGTCTATGTCCTTATACATTCAGTCATGCAGGCTCCCTTCAGGCCAATCATTAACCATTTCTACCTCAGTTAGACTGAGATTCAGTACAGCCATATGTGACGATGCATAATTTAGCTATCAAATTTTTTCAACCAAGCATTTGCCACGCTTGCCCTCATTTCTCATTCCTAAAGGGAATTGATAACTTACAGTACTTGCTTTGCAGTAGTTAGTGACTAGAGAATATATATATCTCAGGTCAGAGAAGGCAACTTAAAAGTCATTTCCAAACCCAGCAGGAATCTGGTTTGTACTTACTGTACTTACTTGATAAATTGCCATACAATAAATCTCCTTCAGAATAATTCTTTGATCTTCACAGATTGCTGCTAAATCTTTCTCAGCATGCCGTTACTGTTTGTATTCAGTAGCAGTAAGCTGCCACTACCAGTGATGAAAATGAAAATCAAATGTGTTTCTGCTAGAACACACTTTCATCATCAGATTTACAAACAATAATGCACTGTCACAGAGAGGATAAGCAGAGACAGTGAGGGAAAGGCACAGATAACAGCAATGGTGTGGAGCTGCATGCACAGAGAGAAAATGTGTGGGTGAATCGATTGTACAAGTGAGAAGAATGTGCGAGTGAGTCATTTATTCGTTTACCTGTTTGAATATACATTAATTGTGACATGAAACTAAAGAAGTCCTTACAGAGATCTCTATTCAACAAATACACATATTCTTTCAAAATGTTTAATGCATTAGCAGTTTTTAAAGTTAATGGTTTTCATGCCTCAACATTCATTACTTGTATTCAACTTTGAACAAGTCACTTCTTTTAATATTAATAACAATTATTTCACGTACACAACCCGTATGTGAGTGTAGACATTAAATACACTTGACAAGCAATTAACCATTGTCTTGCACTACTATGAGGACAGAAAGCACTTGTCTAGCAGGTCTAACAGTCAGTCTTTGTTTACCAAACATGCACTCTACTGTTTAGTCTCTTTAGCGTCTTTGAATTCACTGTGCAAAAAAACACCTTATTTGAAAGGTCATTTCTTACACTGTCATGTCATTGTTGTTTTTACAGAAACACATTTACTTCGAAAACCAAAACCACAAACACACACACTTTGTGCTTTGTGTTATTGTTTTGAGAACACACAATAAGATGCTGGATATAAGGGCATACATAAGTTAAATAAAAGCATAAATGGCAAATACAGGAAACATGCATTCTTATTGGAGGAAATCCCATACAACAGATTCAGTATATATTGAACATGAGGAATCAGAACATTTGTATATAGCATATTTTCCAGGTGCACTATTTGTGTGAAGTTGTTCCCTGAAGGCAGAATGTCACAGGGTTCGCCATGTTTGACTGCATCTTCTCTGCCAAAGAGTTTGAATAGATTTAGATTATATATAGAGTTTGTGTTTTTGTTTTTTTATGTATTTCAAATCCTGCAGACATTAAAAACCCGTCTTCTTTTCGTTACTATTTCCTGCTCTATAGTCAGTGCAAGCTCTTCTTCAAAGATAAATACTATGAAACCCCTACAGTTGTCCTTTCTGTAGATTATATATCATCTGCACTTTGTGAGTCCTTTTACTCTTTTAGAGTCTTGTAGTGTGATGTCACCAGATGATGCCATAGCTGCCATCTGGCCATGTTAATGACTTCCCTTTGTGATTGCACTGTTGCACAAATCAGTGCACCACAGAACTGCTGTGTCAACAGAAAAAACAATGTGGAGCTGGTGCAGTTTAAAGGATTAAATATGTTTGCCTTACTCTGTTGCAGTATTAGGAGCAGCAGAGTAGGTTATCATATACCTTCTTTGTCTTTGTGTGTTCTTATATCAGTGTCTTCAGTTCTTCTGGGTCTGTATACTTACAGATGTCTGAGAGAGAGGCCTATTTTTCTGGCCTCTCTTTTAGCAGTTGTAATGTTTTTTTGTTTTTTTTTTAATTTCTTTTTGCTTTTTGGCTTTTGGGGTTATTGGCTTTATTGTATAATGATCAGTATGAATGGAGAGAGAAAGAAAGAGGGTGGATAAAATGAAGAAAACAGTGGACTCAGACCCAGGCATCTAGTGTGAGAACAGCCTTCAGTACATAGGGGGCACACTCTTGCAAATCTCTCTGTTATGTCATTTAGGCATCTACTAGCTTTTTGTGTTCTGCCAATTATTCACTTAGTTGGTTGTTTATCTTTCAATAGGAGTCCCAACAGAGTTATGAAGGCTACTCTCATCTTTATTTTTGTGTTACTGCTGTGTTTGCAAGTTTGAAATATGTTTTTCATAAAACCTATTTAACAACTTAATTTTGATATGTTAGCGTGTTTCTATTTAGTCACTTAGTCATTGGAAATGAATGAATGAATGGGCAAGATAAGAAGTGGTTTTAGGTCATTTATTTTAAAACCTGGAGTAATGAGCCCCACACACAGGATATAGCGCCTCTTAAGAACCATAACCACAGAAGAAACTGATCAGAATAACCACTGGGGAGATCCTGTTGCCTCACTTAAGTGTGAGGGAGCATTATATGTAATTCATCTAACTCTTGCTTACTAAATAAAACATGAGACCATGATTGGTTGCAAATTTGACATGATCTTGGTTTGTTAATATATGTAAAATTTAGGGTTATGGTTTTGATCTGCTGGTTATCACTGATCTTTTGAGGGGGGAAAAGGGTCTTGAAGCCTTGGTTTTCTGTCTGCATGCATGGTAGCCAGACAAAGAAAGAATTACTTTTTACATTGAGTTATTATGATAGACATGATTTATAGCTCCATAGAATCTGAGGAATGTTACCTATTCTTATGCAAAGACTGATACTTGTGGCTAATTATATAGTTGACCAACTATAGCTTTGTAGTAGCAATTCAAGCTTTTAATCCATAAAGCAGGAATTTGGTAAATCCTACCATCTCAATCTAGTTTCCAGCAAAATATGTAAACTTTCTAATGGGTGACAGTAACAAAATAACAAAATGGAAATATAATCCTTTTGTCCTAGCAGACAGGATATAAGCTTAAATTCAACACTGCACACTGCAGTTTAATGTTGCAAAGCACCTCTTTTTAACTTCAGTGGATATTATACATGGTTATGCTCAGGATATGTCAGCCCATTTCTACTGGAAATGCCTTTTGGTTAAACTTTCAGCAAGGAATTTGCATTTGCACTGTTACATTTTTATAAAGCTTTAATGTACATAAAAACCAGCTTCTTGTTTAAGTGAAAATAAATGGAAGGTTGTCTTTTTGCGCTAGTAATGTTGTGGAGTTGTATTTTGTCTCGCATCAATTATATCGTCGGTTATATCGTTATCGCAAATTTTCAAATATATATCGTGATAAATATTTTTGGCCATATCGCCCTGCTCTAGTAGCAATGTTGTATTAAAAAGATATCCCGAAACTGCTCTCAACAAGATACAATAGGGACCATCTGACTGTCTTAATATAACTTTTCATTGTAGGATGTGGCTACATCT